TAGAAGCATAGGGAGAGAGAGGAGAGGGAAGAGGAGGAGAGGAGAGGAGAGTAGGAGGGGAGGGGAAAGAAACTCAGAGCATCATGGGGCCCCCAGCAGCCTAGGCCTATAGCAGCATAACTAAGGGAGGGCTCAGGGTCACCTGATCCAGCCCTAACTATAAGCTTTATCAAAAAGGAACGTCTTAAGTCTAATCTTAAAGGTAGAGAGGGTGTCCGCCTCCCGAACTGAGACTGGGAGTTGGTTCCATAGGAGAGGAGCTTGATAGCTAAAGGCTCTGCCTCCCATTCTGCTTCTGTGGACTCTAGGAACCACAAGTAAACCTGCACTCTGAGAGCGAAGTGCTCTGTTAGGATGATAAGGCTCTACGAGGTCTTTAAGATATGATGGAGCCTTGTCATTAAGGGCTTTGTATGTTAGGAGAAGGATTTTAAATTCTATTCTGAATTTTACAGGGAGCCAGTGGAGAGAAGCTAATATGGGAGAGATATGATCTCTCTTGCTAGTTCCTGTCAGTACTCTGGCTGCAGCATTTTGGATTAACTGGAGGCTTTTTAGGAAACTGTAGTTACAGTAGTCCAGCCTGGAAGTAACAAATGCATGGACCAGTTTTTCAGCATCACTTTGAGACAGGATGCTCCTGATTTTTGCAATATTGCGCAGGTGAAAGAAGGCAGATCTAGAGGCTTGGTTTATGTGTGATTTAAAGGACATATTCTGATCAAAGATGACTCCAAGGTTCCTCACAGTAGTACTGGAGGAAAGAGCTATGTCAATTAAAGTAACTATATGATTAGACAGCAGATTTCTAAGGTTTTCAGGCCCAAGCACAATAACTTCGGTTTTGTCAGAGTTTAGAAGTAAGAAGTTGCAGGTCATCCAGGCCTTTATGTCTTTAAGACATGCTTGAAGTTTGACCAGCTGACCTGATTCATTTGGCTTCATAGATAAATATAGCTGAGTATCATCTGCATAGCAATGGAAATTTATGTTGTGCTTCCTGATAATATTGCCTAAAGGGAGCATGTATAAAGTGAAGAGATTGGACCTAACACAGAGCCCTGTGGAACGTTGTGACTAACTTCAGTTTGTGTGGAACATTTGTCATTGACATGAACAAATTGAAATCTTTCTGATAAATAAGATTTGAACCAACTTAGCGCAGTTCCTTTAATCCCAATAACATGTTCAAGTCTCTGCAGTAAGATGCTGTGATCAGTGGTGTCAAAAGCAGCACTGAGATCTAAGAGGACAAGTATGGAGACAAGTCCTTTGTCCGAGGCTAGGAGAAGATCATTGGTGACTTTCACCAATGTGGTTTCTGTACTATGATGGACTCTAAATCCTGACTGAAAATCCTCAAACAAATCATTCTTGTGCAAGTGGTCACATAACTGCTTAGCAACAGCTTTTTCAAGGATTTTGGAAATAAATGGGAGATTGGATATTGGTCTATAATTAGCTAGGACACCTGGGTCAAGAGTAGGCTTTTTGAGTAGAGGTTTAATTAATAGTCAATTAAAAAAAATAAAACTCTGAAATATGCTCATCACAGTAGCCTAGACCACAGAGTATGTGTATGTTTTGTGCAAGCAACAGTTCCAGCACCGTTTTTTTTATTTATTATAATGTAATATTAACTCTCACTTTTGAGAACCTGGACTCATCAAATGTTTTGTCATTTTTACTTGAAAGTGTTATTTATTGATTGATTGTATAACTATTCAGTGATCAGCTTTCTTTAATCAACTAATCAAACAAGAATATTTAAATACGCTGAATAATAGAAACAGTCTGTAGTAAAGGAAAACATGAAAAATGAAGTCAAGTTTCGGTTTCATAGCCTTCAACGTAAACAGACAACCTCAACCACAGGTTCACAAACTCAGTGAAGTCTACAGTCTCTGCTGTGGAAACTGTTGGACTGATTTAATGAGAAAGAGCGATGATAGAGCAGCAGCTCATATCAACGCGCCTTGTTTTTCTTTTCCTTTGATTTACTCACTTAAATTTAAATATCATGAAATGGAATCTATGTTGGAAATCTGAGAAAAAGGAGGATGGACATAAAATTCTATACAGTAATCTGTCTTTTGCAGAAAAACCTGTAAAAATAAGGGACACTATAAAGGAAGAGAATGAGTAAGACAATATATACCAAACAAAGAATTAAATAAACAGCACTTGGAGTGCAAAGCTCAGTCAAGGCAGCTCACTGTATCCATAATGCCATTACACCTAAAGTAAAAGCAATATTCTCATGATAGTTTGGGCCACATAATATGATTTTATGACCAAGAAAACCTACCTCTAGCATTTGGAATCATAATGATATCTATTAGTTTGAACATTATTCAAGATACAGTGCCTTGCAAAAGTATTCATACCCCTTGAATTTTTCCACATTTTGTCACATTACAACCACAAACTTAAATGCATTTTATTGGGATTTTATGTGATAGACCAACACAAAGTATTGCATAATTGTGAAGTGGAAGGAAAATGATACGTGGTGTTCAAGATTTTTTAAAATAAAAATCTGAAAAGTGTGGCGTATTCAGCCCCTTTGAGTCAATACTTTGTCGAATCACCTTTCGCTGCAATTAATAGCTGCAAGTCTTTTGGGGTACGTCTCTACCAGCTTTGCACATCTATAGACTGCAATTTTTGCCCATTCTTCTTTGCAAAGTAGCTCCAGTTCAGTCAGATTGGGTGGAGAGCGTCTGTGAACAGCAGTTTACAAGTCTTGCCACAGATTCTCAATAGGATTTAGGTCTGGACTTTGACTGGGCCATTTTAACACATGAATATGCTTTGATCTTAACCATTCCATTGTAGCTCTGGCTGGAAAATGTGTTAAAGAAGCAACACCATGTCAGGACTGTGGGTACTGCCACATCCAGATAAATCTTCCTGAATATGTCAATGAAAGCTCACCTGTTGCCGTGTCATTTGGGAGAAAATGCTGTTTCATTTTCCCAAAACATCCAGTGATGTTGTGAACTGAAATGAACAGATAGACAAAAATGTGTTGTCCATTTATTAGGATATGTTAACCAGGTTGTGTTATATTTGAAGCATTCATTAGTCCCGGATAGCCTTGACTGTCACAGTCTTGAGATGATAGCTTAATATATAACCTACTGATTATTTCAATATATGCCCTTTTGTTCATTCAGGCTCAAGCAGACATTGTGAATCTTAACCATATTCCAAAATGTTTTTAATCATTTGTTCATTTAAATTGGGTCATGCATCGAGTTTTCAACTCCCACTTCTCATATTGATTCAGACATTTCATTAGAGTCAATTTCAAAAGCTCAAATGCAAAGAAAATAACATTTGTTTTTCAGAACTGCAAATTATTTGTCCCTGTAGGTCCAATTAGCGCTGTGGCTTTGGTTTAATTTAAAATAGATACTAAGGTCTCACATTTGAAATATCACAGTGAGAGACCACGGGCAGTTCATGTATATCGTATATAGGATGGTTGTATATTTTGATGTCCAAAAAGAATAAAATATACAGTATATAATGTAATATTCAGGATTGTTTGGAGCATCTCAGTTTAGTATATGAATATACATGTGACATTAGCTGTGGGTTGTTGGATGTCACTGCTTGGTTGCTGCTGATAATCTTTCACATAATTGAACTAAATTAACAGTGAGGTACTTTATTGCCACTTTAGGAGTCTGTTGTGTGGGTTAGGGTTAACACACAAACCACCCTCTGGGCCACACTTAAGACATGCAACATGGTAAAAACATAAAATAGAAAAAGTTCCATCAAATACACACTCAGCTGCCAGTTTATTAGGTACAACAACTAAAACTAATGCAGTCTAATATAACAGCCCTGCAATAAATCTTGCCTTCATAAAGGTGATAATATTTAGTAAATGTAATGTAATGTAAAGTTTTTTTTTTTGATTCAACTACATAGAGA